TAGAAGTATTCTGGTTAAATTGAGAAAATATGATTTTTCATGTTCGATTGTTCAGAGCTATAAAAATATCAATCCTTTTAAATTGACAAAGACATTGAAAAGATTTTCTTGATAAAATAACAAAAGCATGATCGGATTATTCAAAGAGTCCAAGGATTTTTCATTTTCTCAGGTGAGTTGGAAGAAACAAAAGCAAGAGAAAGAAAAGGATTTGTCATTTTCATGACAAATTGGGTTTCGAATTATTATTCAGCTCGAAATTTGTCGAATAAGTAAAATGCTGAAAAAAATTTCGATATTGATAGACACAGATGTCATTGTCATCTAACAAGCTTACTTGACTAGTCAATGAAGGTATGAATTTTAAAGCTGACAAAGTAACTCAAAGTCGTATCAAATTTAACATCCAACTCGGCCTCTTTTCAGGGCAAAGTTTTCTTTTAGTCTTTCTTTTACTGTTTCATCTTCATCAATTCCAAGTTTTGCTGAATTTATTTTCCATCGAATCTTCATCTTCATTTATATCATTTCATTTCATCATTTCTTAATCATCACAATCACTATCATAACTATCAAAATCTCAGGCCGGTTGACAGAAGCTTCTCAACCTAACATAGTCACTCTCTTAGGATCAGATTTAACATCCAACTCGGCCTCTTTTCACGTTAAAGTTTTCATTCTTGTTTTGCTTTTATTATTTCATCTCCATCAACTTGAAGAATTTATTTTCAGCTAAATCTTAATTTCTTAATCAATATAATTGCTATCATAGCTATCCAAATCTGATCATGAATAGGTCAAGTGACAGAAGCTTTCCAACCATTTATAGTCACTTTCATGATGTGACAATAATTGAAATGCAGTAATGATGAGAAAATGGGAAAATTTTTTTTTTCTCGTTTTGAAGATTATTTTACTTGGAAAATTGTCTCCATATTTGCCTTTACTTCTTAAAATTGATGATAAATTGTTCCATTTGTTCATTTTGCTCAAGTTATTCCGAGTTTCAACCAGATTGAACAGAGTTATAAGATGAAATACAATTTTATCGACCAATGATTATTTATTCAAACGAAAAGTGATTTAACGTTGAACAATCCAGTTTTATTTGTTTATTTGTTTCCCTTTTTGCTTATTATTTGCCTTGAAAGTTGTACATTCACTTGATTTCATTTTGGTTAAAGTAATGATAATATAAATAGTGATGACGATGAGGCAAAAAGTCAACGAAATAAAGGATTAACTATAATATTATTAATATCATTGTGTGCTCACATCGTTTATCACTAAACTTTATGCTCTATTTGGTTCCATTCCTATGCCAGCTTAACCTGTTAAATGAAAGCATTTTTGCTGTTTCAAACTATCGATACAGCGCAAGCAAAAAGCTCATAATATCACATCAAGACTAGAAAATTAAGTTTTGCCTCTTTGGTATTTTGGTGCATTGAAAGCAACTTCAATGGATACAGTCAGTCATAAAAGGTTATGAAAGGTATCACAAAGTAGTGGGTATGATGAGCCAGGTTGTCAGTCAAGTAATAATATTCAGATAAAGGATGGAATTTTTTTTCTTTTCTTCCTGTTTTTTTCCTCAACATTGAATACAAGCTTTGTTACCTTGTACATTTCAATCTTGATTCAAGGTAAATCTGATCGATTCTTGAATCTTAATTCATACCTGATTCATGTTAAACTGATAGGAACGAAAGGAGGAAGAAAAATATTATCAACTTTTAGGTTTCCCTGAGCCAAGATAATGATATAATGGAAGCTTTTTTCAGGTAAAGTAAAAAAAAGAGATGAATAAACAAAAAGGTTGTGATGAATATTTCTCAAGCTTCGGAAATTACATTTCAACCTTTAACCTATTTGATTTTGGGTTTATTCAATCAAAGATAACCTTTATCCTGAGTCAACAAACAGTTTCAATTTTTGGTGTTAATTACAAAACATTTGTTTACCAAAACCAAGAAAAGCACAGATTTAGCGCAAGATTGATTATTCGGGTAAACTGAATGCTAAAATATTGTTGATTTACTGATTTAAATGTAGCTTAGGTTCAACCTAATATCCAAATGCTGTGTTACGATAAAAATGTTTACAGTAAAAGCGAAAAGTGAAAGAGTTTTGTTTGCATTCGATTTATATTTTGATTTATGATGAAAAGCTGAGAATCGAAAGGATTCCTTGAAAAATCGCTTGAAAAGTACTTTTGTTTTCCTTCTTTGCTAAAAGTTTCTTTTCATGTTATTATGTTATCACGAGAAGCTGTGAAAGTTGATGAAAAACTGCTTTTGCTTTACAGCGTTTTTTGGGTCAAATAAATTGGTTTCACTTAAACATTCATTTGGCCTGATCTTTGAGTAAATTGATGGTCTGATGCAGCGTTTTAATGCAGCGCTAATCTGCGACTTTCTTTGATGTCCAAATATTGGCAGTAAATGAAAAACTGTACAAATGACTGGCTATAATTAATCTAAACAATTGATCAGTCAATTCCCTGAATTATCTTTAACAGAATCAACCATGTTTCTGCTTCTTTTGTCTTCATGTCTGCTAGGCATAACTGCAAGATAAATATCAATTCATGGTAAGGAATATTTGGAGACATCATTTTTCATCGGATTCCCAAGTGATCTAGAGATGTATCTGTTATCAGATTATGTTAGGGAAAAGGAGAGGAGAAGGAAAGAGAAAAAAGTTGAAATAAAATTGATGAGCTGAAACTTGGAATCGTCAATCAAAGGGAATCAAATGAAAATGATGTGGAAAAGGGGAAAAGAAACAAAAAAAAAAGACAAAAAGAAACTGAGAAAAGTTCAGATTTGTTCAAGTCCAAGAATTATAATAATGATAATATTTTCCTTTTCTTTTCTTATCATTTCTTCTTCTTTTCCAGATGATAATCTTTTTCATAATCAGGAAATAAACTATAAATTTTGTCTCGTTATCATGAAAATTTCAACATAACCCAACATGAAAATAGCCAATACATTATTGCTCTTTAACTATTATTCATAAATCACTCTTACATGATGATCGTCAACACCAATTCAGTTGGTTTCAAGCAACAGAAAAAAAGATTCACTTGAAAAAGAATTGAATAAAATGTCAATTTTTTCGCCTCATTGGCTAATAATGGTAAACATTATCGGTTCAACTGAGTCTAGCCAGAGCTACAAGAATTTTCTTGGAACTCGTTCAAATCTAGAAAATCGAATCGATTGCAATTGTCTCTTGAGTTATCATTGGAGTTGAACAGAATATTTTTTGAAGAAAATCATTTTTTCTCAACTTTTTTTCAGTTTGATTAACATGATGAAGATGATTAACGAATTTAAACTTTTCCAGATTTTGTCGGTTGAATGAAAATTTGCTTTAAAAGTTATCATCTTTAAGGCAAAGATGAAGATTTGAGTTGGCATTCAGTGAAAACTCTTTGACAACCAGTTTATCATGTTACATTGACTAGATCTTTGACTCTTTTGGGAATTTTACTCTTGACATGATAATTCCTTTCACAATGGTTTTGGTCAAAATTTATTTTCTCTTTACTCTTCTTTTTGTCTTCCCTTCACATTATTTCATTACTTTGTTTCCCTGCGTATAATCATGTTATTTTATCTGAAACAAAGAATGGGATGAACACAAAGAAAATGTTCAATTCTGGTTCAACTTTGTAACATAATGTTTGGTAGCGACTGTGCCAGAGTCAACTAAATTTGTAAACACATTCTTGGTCTAAATGGTTCTCAAAAATGTCACCTTAATTAATCAACAATCAAAGACTAATCATGTTTAAAAGGAACACTTAATTTGCTTCTTTCCTCCAAAAATGAATGAGCAATTGATTAACTTAAGGATTGTTTCACCATTTTGCTAAATTAATTTATTTTTGTCTCAGTTTCAAAGTAAGGTAATTAAACCAAGTAATACAAGAGTTTTTAATCTCATCAGACTTGGCTCAAAGGAGTTGGTCAAACATTAGACTTTTTGGGTTCAGTCTGACCAGTTTGATGTTTGAGGAAAAGCTTTGCATTATTATTTTACTGGCTTGTCTTGTCTATCAAATGATGAAAAGGGTTTTTACTCGATGACAAGGTGTACTAACCAACTGACCATGTTTACGGATAATGAGGTGAAAGCAGAAAGCTCTGTGAGTCAAGAGAATGGCATTAATTAATTCAAATTAACTCAATCTTGGATGAACACAGTGAATAGAGAGGAAAAAAGAAGAGGTATTTTTCATTGTAAACTTTATCCTTCAATGGTGATGATGACAATAATGGGTAAAATGGACACAATAAGTTGATAATAAAGTCCAGTCATGTTTTCCTTTTGGGTTAACTCAATTTTCAAACTGATTGGTAATGATAACAAAAAGGATGAAACAGATGAATAGAAAGGCTATCAGATGAAAAATTGTACCGTAAATGTTGGCAATTTTTTATTTCATTTTTGCTTGAATTTCAAGTCTATCACTCCCAATGTATTTTTACTGAGTTTGGTGAACAGCTATAATGATTGGAGATCATTGATTGGTATTTGGTTGTTCATAAGAACCCGATAAAAACAGTAAAAACTCGATTGAATTTAAAGTTGAATAATTGTTAAAAGTAAGCTGATTAACCGGTTTCATTACCGATTCAGCTCATAGTCTCACTAATCTAGCTTTAAATCATTTTTACTGACATTTTTAGGTTTTGGGTACAAGGGTTGATGCATTTAACCCAATGTTTAGGTTTCTTAGGCCTTTCTATCTCAGGCCTTTCTTTTGTTCCAGAGACATTTATTGAGACTGAAGCTGATCATGAACTGGATGAAGCTTGGCCCGGTACTTTGGGTGCTAATGGATGTACAATGTACAGATTGTAATTAATTTGCAAACATTTGTCATTGATTGTCCAAAAGTTGTAGTTGAATTTGGTTTGCTTTTGGTTGTTGCTTTTGTTGAGAGTTGAATGTAATTGAATGAACAATGAATTTTGAATATAACTTGAATAATTATGAAATTGGTTTGGCTAATTATATTTTATTTCAATTTGGGTTCCAATGGGAAATGAATTGTTACATGTTGAACAGAAATTTTTCAAATATTTCATTGACATTTTTTTACTTTAATCAGAATGATACAGGCAATGGTAAAAGTAGTCTCCTGAGTTGAATTTATTGTTCAACTCAATTGATGATGATAATCATGTTCACTGACCATTGTGAGTGGCTAAATTGTAATTTACAAAAATTCATGTCACGTCACAGTGATTCACATTTTCACAGCTAACAGCAACAATCATCATCAAATGTTGTATGATAATAACAATAAAAAATAATAGTACCGATTTCAATACAAATATTTTTGCAACTTGACATTGGGTAAAAGCTACAAAAATAAAAACATGGTTAAGATGGATAGTTAAATTAATGGTCAAAAGAATGAAAATGTTTGGTCGAGTGGAAATGGAAAGTTATTGAACCAATTTACAATTGTAATTCCAGTGGCATGTTAATTTCATCTTATTTTGCTTGAGTTGACCAATTGACATACACACGAAATCTTGATTCAAATTATTGGGTTTACAGTTTCAAAGGGTCGGGTTAAACTTGGTGTAAAGGTTTACCAATCTACATAACTTTGTAACTCTGTATTCCCTGGCAATTCTCATGTTGATTTGACTTTACATTTTACTTTTATCGCAGACATTAACTGTTTCCTGTAACCAATAAATTACGGAATCGATTGTGTGATTTAGCTATGATAACTGGAGGTCGTGAAAAGGCGGTCAAAAGTGATAAACATTGCCGTTCCTTGGTCCGTGTTGGGTCATCGATAAACCATGCTGTTGAAAGGTTTGTCTCGGTTGGTGAGGCTATTGGTGATGATAATCCAGAGATTAAGATGGACATGTATGATGCTTGTAAAGATGCCAAAACAGCGGGTAAGTTTACAACAATAAACTTAATTAATAGAGACAATGTAACCCAAAACAGTGTAACCTAAACAATGTAACAAAATAAAATCACAATGAACCAGATTAGATTAAGTAGTTTGTAAACTGACCTAAGATAATTGTCCAAGCTGCTTTTCAGTTCAACCATCCTCATTAGATTGTGATTAGATGTTAATTAGTAAACTTCAAGTAAACATTTCAATCAAAAACAATTAATAAACAAATTATATGATTGGCTCGACACTAAACCGTTAAAATGAAATTTATAAATTTGAAAATCTCTAAGCAACCCTTTGCTATCATTGCCATCTTTAGATTTGTTTAGTAATTAATGTATTTGCTTCGTGCATTGATAAATGTATATCTTTTATATCGTTTTAAGCAGGTTGTATTTTGGAGCAATTATGTGATTTAACAACTGATTCTGGTAATTATAATGTTCGTTTTTATTCCGATAGAAGTGCTCTTGCCAGATCAGCTCGAGCTTTGCTATCATCGGTTACCAGAGTCCTGTTGATCGCAGATACTGTGGTAGTAAAACAGCTTTTAACAGCAAAAGACAGGGTAAGTGTTTCTTTTGTTTTTAATGTTATATTTTTTGGTTGATTTTGGACCAGTCAACCTTTTATTTATGCTTTTAATCACAATCATATTTCATATTAAACAAAGCAAAATGTTGTAAATATTAGATTAATCATATTAGATTAATGTTTAACCAGTTCATATGTATTAGAGTTTAGTGTGTTTAATGGATACATTTGTGACTTCCAACTGTAAACAAACCATAACTATTATTAGATACTCTTAATATTACACTGATTAGACTTTATCATCTCAATTTACTTGACCTTCAATGAGATGTCATCATTAAGGTAGTAAATAAATTTGGCCCTTTTTCCTATTAATCAATCAGAAATTTAATATAACACTTAGTTTTCACTTTATTTTCTCGCTATTTTTATCCTAATGTCAGCAACAAACAACATTTGCCCATAGACATGGTAACTGTTCCAATTGAACTACAATTTCAATTGTATAGCCAATATTATTGGTATTTATTTGATCATAAATGTAACACTGGTCATTATTGCAATTGTAATACCTAACAATGAGTTACATGAGTGTCAAAGTATCATATCAACTACCAAAGAAAGGTCGATGCTAATCAATTATTTAATCTTTCCCTTAACTTACTTGTATTCACCGTCATAATCATCATCATCTTATGGCTATTATACTTTAGTTTGTATTATTAATAATAAGACGATTGAATAGAAGTGAGTAAATAGAGTTAGTTTATTGTTTGGTTTTCTTTCTGTTTACTGTTATTTTGTATGTAATGCACTTATACATTTCAAGTTAATGATGATTGACACAGACAACTCTAAGAATGTTAATGATAACTAACTGATTATATTTTATTAAATTCATTATTATGATTATTATATGTTTATTATCTGTTACATGACTATGGTAATAATTCAACATTTGTTTCCATTTTCCTATTTTTAGGTGTCAATAAGCTTAAATAGGCTTGAAAATGTTGCCAATTTTACCGAGTTTGTGAAAGCTTATGCCATATTTGGTTCAGAGATGGTTGAACTTGCTCATCTTGTTTCTGATCGTTCAAATGTAAGTAAATCGTCATTTAATTAACTCTTATTTCCTTCAATTTTCCCATTGCTTTTCCTGTAAAGTTTAACTCTATTTGTAATCGGCAGAGCATTAATTGTTCATCGTCCAAGTTGGTTGACTTAATCAGACCTCCTTGTTAGTATGACCATCACTGAGCATATTAATGTTACATCAAATTGACCCAACAGGGACAAATTATTTATTCAAATGTAACTGGCTAGTCAAGCCTTGATAATCAGAATGGTTAATTTGACTAATAAATAAATCTCAGCTCATTTCACCTGACTTAGAATCTATTTAACTAGAGCTCATTGAAAAGTCAAGAAGTTACACAGACGGAGTTAAACACAATTGAACTGAATCTGCTCATTTCGAGATATAAACCTTTTAATAAATTGCTTTTTGTTTATTTACAATTTAGTGTTCTAAAGATGAAAGGAGAAGAGCGGAAATGGGTTCAGCAAGACGATTCCTTGAAAGATCGACCATGATGCTGTTAACTTCAGCCAAAGCTTGTCTTCGTCATCCTGATTGTGAGAGTGCCAAAGAAAACCGTGATACCGTTTTCATTGAGATGAGACGAGCCATGGATTCAATACACAGTGTCATCAAGGACAGTGTCTTACCTCAATTAACCATCTCGGCCTTTAACCTTGATTCCTGTGGTCATCCTCGGCGTTCACATGGACGATCATCTCATGGTCATGTTTCACGTTACTCTTCCAGCAATCGATCTACTCCTGATTGGATGATTGACAATGACGACGAACCTCTAACAACTGCCTTTAATGCAATCAAAAGATTCGAGGCAAGTGTCTATCAATCAATTTTATACTTTTAAAATTGCTATCTATTGAATGATTTACTAATTTACTTTTTCTTTGGTCTACAGGAATGGGTTGAATTAAGCCGCATTACTTTATGTAAAGGACTTTTCAGGGAAAGATTAATAAGTGCCTTTGACGCTTTTGTTGAATTAACCCAAGATTTTACTGATTCAGCTTATACTCGCCATGAGAATCGGGAAAAATTATTACTCCTCTGTGATCGCACTAAAATTGAGCTCAATCAACTACTTCGATTAGGAATTTGCCTTGTAAGTATAAAATGGTCCATGTTAAGTATTCAACTGTTGATGTTTCATTTTCTTTATTCCCTTTCCAAGGATGAATCTGGTACAACCAATCCAACTAGTGACTTGGAAGAAGCCATATTACACACACTTCGAGCCGTTAATGATGTCAAACTCCAGGTAACTATATGCATGAGCTTTATAAGAGGAACCAATAAGATAACATTTGCTTTCTTTACAGCTACGTAACACTGCCTTGGAGCAAGCTGATGAATTATTTAGACTTACTGATGAATTTGATATAATAAATCAACTCCGAAATACATTCTTAACGGGTGACCCTGAACGGCTTAATGATTATGTGAAAATATTTTCCGATCACTGTGATCATGTGGGGGAAGTTTGCCGTCTCCTTCATAATGTAACGACCTCAGAAACACTTCAAATCTATTCCAAAATAACTGAAAATCATATAAATGTCTTCAGCCCACAAGTATTAAATGCGTGTTTTACTCTATGTGCTTATCCCAATTCTCGTATTGCCAAAGACAATTTAGAAGTTTTCCTCGATTTTTGGATAATTCTTTACAGTGATGTTCATCAATATGTTAAAGATACTCGAGAATGTTCAACCGGCGTTGATCTATCGGGTAACTATGCTAATTACCCTGGTAATGGTTCATGTTCACAATCTGGTTCCGTCCGATGGCCAGGAATACCAAATACCAAGGGCGCTCAACAAGTACAAGCACAACAATCGGTACAGCAACAAGTATCCTCACAGTCACAACAAACTGTCCAACAGCAGCAACCTGTGATATTAGGACCTAATGGATCAATGGATCCCAATGATCCTACAATGGGCCATGGTAAAGTACCAGGTTCCGTTGATTTGGAGACTGGTGAGACAGACAAAAACTGGCCTTCCAATAATGCATCAGAGGATAATGATATTGTCCGAAGAGCTAAAGCTATGTCACAAATGGCCTTAAATATGAATCAATTTACTCGAGGAGAAGGTGATTTGAAAACTACTCAAGATTTGTTTACACAAGCTGAGTTTCTAGCCGAAGAAGCCAACAAGTTTTACAAATTGGTTCGCCACTTTTCATACCAGGTAACTGATCTAATAAAACTAAGAGTCAACTGTAAACAAAAGAGAAAATTAAGTACAGTTAGAAGTAAAATAATTAGTTATTAACGGCCGTTCCAACTCATTATAACTTTTTCTTCTTTTCAACTTGTCAATACAGGTTCCGAGTGGATTGTCCAAGAAAGATCTTCTCGATAACCTTGATAAAGTTCCAACGTTTGTCCAACAATTACAATTCACTGTGAAACAACCAACTGTTGGTAAAGCGGCAACCTTCACCAAAGTTGATAATGTAATTAAGGAAGCCAAAAATTTGATGATGTTTGTTTGCAGTACGGTCGATAGCTGTATAAATTGTGCCTCTAAGGTAAGTGGTTCAATAAATTTACTATGTTCACGGTCAATGTTGATTCAATTTAATTAATAAGACTCTTGATTATGAATAATAGTGCAATAAACACTAAATAGTGATCAAATAGTAAACATTATAACATTAGTTATTTGATTTATTGATAGTTTCACATTTTCAACAACTTTGTTGACTATTTTCAGTGACATCTATTGGATCGATAGTTTAATAGGGAAAAGAAGCACGATTTTTAAAATGTAGAAACCAATAAACTGAAAAAAATGTGTGAATGTTGAGTATTTTTTAATGAATTGTAAATAGCAATTTAGTAAATTGTTTTGCCTTGTGATTTTATCTGACAGTTTAATCTTGATATGGGTGCTGCTCGAGCTCGATCACGGACATTATCACCCTCAGGACGACATGGTGAAGATGACAGTGGATATGAAGGAATGTCTTCTGGAATGGGATCGAAAAGTGGAACGGCGTCTTCTGATCCCAACATTTGACAATTAGGGATCGGCTCTAGACGGGCCAAACCTCAACAATCCGGTGGTGAATCAAGAAGAACTCGCGTTTCGTTTTTACTCTTTTAGGGTCAAAATCTTAGGATCACTTGTCAATATAATTTTGGTCATCACTTTTCGTTCATATCACCAAAGCACCATTTAAACCTCCTACACAACAAACACTCACACACTCGCAATGTTTAATTTTTACCCGACACACATCACCAAAAATCAGTTAATCCAAGTCCAATCCCATAAATCAGAATACATTGGGTCATCTCTTAACCAACTGCCTATCTAACAATACTAACATCTGACTCTTCCTTTTTGCGCTTAAAGCTGAATGAATGGAATCGGGTTTAGCTTTAAATTAATCGTGTGAAATTTTGAACAGCAATATATTAGATTTTTGCTCTGTTATGTAATCATGATTAACAAAGTTTAGATTTATAATTTAGGTTGTGAAGGTTTATCATTGAGAAGTTGATAGACACTATACTAAACCATTTAATAACAAGTAACTGCCATATTTGTTAGCTTTTTCAATACTAAATTTAACTATTTTGTAAATACAATTATAATAGTACAATTTGTGTATATATTATAATATTAATATTAATAGCATTACCATGTAAGATTATGGTAAATTAGTAATATGTTGATCATTGATTATGTTTGTGTGAAAGTATTTTAAGCTCAAAAAAAGGTAGATTTTGTTAGCCACTTGTTACAATAACTGCTTCTTTGCTCAACCAACAAAACAATTCTGATTTCCATCATTTCGATTCTCCCTGATTTAGTATTAACCCAATTATTATTTATGCACCAAACACAATCTCAATTAATATCCAAGATTTTGACCCTGACTACAAAACGCGACCGAAAATCAACTCTTCTTAATTCAAACCGATTGTTCCAAAGTGAAATGTAACTCAAAATGATCAAGAGCATTACCGTAATTTGGTACATAATTGAACCTGACTAGCAACATTTAATTGTCAACATTTATTGCCAATATTTGTTGAGTTTCTCGTTCAATTGTACCAAATTAATCAACGATGTTAACCTTTCCTGTGGCAGGTTAGGGGATGTTGTTGAGATGCTCTAACCTCTAACCCGTTTACCCAAAACTCAAACTAAATACTCAACCCTTACATTTATTTAAATGAGTTTCGCCAATCTGATTGTAACCTTTAATTTTCCTCCAATCAATCTTCCTAAATCCCTAATCAACCCACAAGATTCCTTAATCAGAGGTAAAAGGTCATTTTGAGTATGATTTCACTTGTCTCCTCAAACAAGCTCAACCATCATTGACTCTTGTTTCTGTTTAGTTATTGTTAAACCATTTGATTGTTGTTAATGGGAGACACAAATTAGTTAACAAACATAACCACAACAATAATTAACATTCATGGTTAAAGACACACAATTTTACACAAATGATCAATTTAATTGAATCTGACCCAAGTAATAATATTATTACGTTTGAATACAATTTAATCTTGCTTTTCAAATGTTTTAGCCTAAACTGTTCAATTATTACCAAAGTAACTATTTGATACATTTAATTATCAATTGTTCAGCCAATTTTTCTCAACTAGTTTTCAGTTCAACAATTATTTTTCTTTTTCCTCATCAAATTGTTTATAAAAATATATATAAATATGTTAATAATTTGTCAATAAATTGCATTTGTTTAATGCATTAATAAACTGGTGTAACTTTCATTGAAACAAAACATGGAGATGATCACTTGATGGTTGAATAAAATGAATAAAAGGTTTGAATCGTCTTTAAACTCATCATTATGTGATTGAACAAGGCAACAGGTAAGTAAACATGATATTTATATGATTTGATTGTTTCATCAACTATAAATAAATGATAAGCTTGATGATGATGATGATGAGATTGTTTTTATTTTCTTTCACTGAATTTCACTCAATCAAAATTGACGGTTTCAGTTTATGAGTTTATAAGGTAACAATGAAACTTACATTCAACAGCTTCCAATTGATTCAATGATCATTTACACAGTTTGATTAAATCTCATAAGGAAACGGTTAAAATAACAATTTAAATTGAAACAATCAAATGTTTGAATAATATCAGCAACAACAAAAATGGTAAAACAACTTTAAATCTCAATCTTGCTTGGATTAGTTTATTATTTTTAATCCAAACCATTGATATTGTATAACAATCATCTTGTAATTGAAATTTTACTAAACAAAGGCTAAGATTTGCATGAACGGATAATTAGATGTATTGAACAGAGTTGGACAGCTCATGATGAAGTCAGAAGCAACAAGTTTGATTACAACTTCAATACCGTTGGTTCTGTCATAATCTGGTTTATAATCTGGGTTGTTATGTATCCATGAACATAGTAAAGGTAATTTTGAAAATTCAGTTTGGTCTTCTCTCTGATTTATTTGGCTTTTACCGAGAAACATCCTTCAATGTGTCTTACAAGGGAAGTGACCTTGCTTGTACGATTATCTTAACTTTTTTTCGAGGTATATTGGAGATTGCCCGAGAACATAGTGATTTTTGCTTTTTTTACGCTTTACTCTCGGCTTGAGAGTCAATTTATTGGAAGTGAGTCTGTACACCAGAGTTGAATGTAAAAATGACGAGAAAAGACAAAAAAAGCATAAAAATTGGAGGTAAAAGTGTTCACAAGTGTGACTACATTACTATCAACAGATTGAAACTATGTAATAATATGTATGAACAGCAAACACATTTTGGAATCAAAGTCGCTCAGGGTGATGTACACTTGTTACTGATTTGTAAATCTGTATGGAGAAACACCATTTCTATTTAGGATAACTAAGAAA